AACATTGTCTTGAGACTGTGTTCTTGTGTAATAGATTTCCCCAATAGGGGAAAACAATCTCTTATGTGCCTACACTGCAAAACCCCTTCAGAGATGTGCACGTTTCAAAAAATCACCTCTCTACCTTTTCTTTAATTGGACAATTCTCTCATCCCAGGAATGAGACTCATAGCGCCAGGAACCTGGGTTCAATTCCACCCTCTGGTGACTGTCTGTGTGGAGTTTGCACATTTCTCCCCGTGTCTGCGTGGGTTTCCTCCCACAGTCCAAAGATGTGCAGGCTAGCTGGACTAGCTATGCTAAACTGTCTACGTGTAGATTAGGTGGGTTATAGGGGATGGGTCTGGGTGGGATGTTGTGAGGGTCCTTGTGGACTTGTTGGGCCGAAGGGCCTGTTTCCACACTGTAGAGATTCTATGATGATAAATCTAGTAGACTCATGGGCTGTAATATCTCCAAAATAGTATATCCTTCTTTAGATAGCAAGACCAAACTACTAAAGTATGCCAGCTGCAGTCTCACCAAAGTTCTATACACGTTCATGTTCTTGTACTACAGTCTCTTTACAATAAAGGTGATAATGACATATCAGTTATCTTCTGAACTGCTTGCAGAACCTGCATGATGACTTTTTTTTGTTGCTTATTGCACTACAACAGATCTCTCTGAACATCAGTTTTTAAGTTTCATGTCTTTTAAAGAATCGTCTGCATTTCTACTACCACTAAAAAGAATAACCTCATACATCGACACACCATACTCCATCTGTTATCTGTTGCCCACTCACTTTACCAGCATGTCTGTATATCTTATGTTCTCACAGATTACATTCATGCCGTTTTGTATCATCATCAAACTTAAGAATCACAGCACAGAAACAGACCCCTTGGTCTGCCTTGTCCATGCTGACCAGCATTTGGCCCATATCCCTCTTAAATCCTTTCTATTTATATACCCACTCAGATGCCTTTTAAATGTTGTAATTGTACCAGCCTCCACCACTTTCTGTGGCAGCTCATTCCATATAAACACCACCCTCTGCATGAAAAAGTTACTCCTCAGGTCCCTTTTAAGTCTTTCCCCTCTCACCTTAAACCGGTGGCCTCTAGTTTTGGACTCCCCTACTCTGGGGAAAAGACCTTGGCTATTAACCCTATCCATGCGTGTCATGATTTTATAAACCCCTATAAGGTCACCCCTCAGCCTTCAATGCTCCAGTGAAAATAGCCCCAGCCTTTGCAGCCTCTTCTCAAACCCTCCAACCCTGGCAACATCGGATGATTACTTTTGGACTCTTGGTCTAAACCGTGAATATGGAAAGTAAACAGCTGAGGTCACAGCACTGTTCCTTGTATTTCCAATAATTACACCTTGCCAACTAGGAAAGTGCTATTTTTATTTCCCAAACTCTGTAAAAGCAAACCATCTTCTGTTCAAGTCTGAATTGACAGACCGAGCAGGAACCGAATCAGCTACATCAAGGCAAAGGCAGGGAACGGTATGACTGAACCCAGCAAGCAGATGGAAAGGTTAGAGTGGGGCTTTGTCTCATACTCAGTGTGATGGGAGAACGTTGTGAGTGAAGAAGATCTGTCCGTCAGATCATCAGAACTCAAGTGTGTAAAATAATCTCTCATCTGCCCTTGGGTTTTTTGCCACATACTTTAAGTTGTGTTCTGTGATTACCAACTAGCCTGCACCGGAAAAAAAGAAATCTCCTTATGCGGATAAAACTGCCACAAAAAATATCCACACCTTGATAAAATCATTCTTCAACCTGATGTGCCCAAAGACAAGTGATTTCAGCTTCTCCAGTCTCTCCGTGGTATGCGATAGTTTGAGAAACTTGGTCGGGTTGGACCAAAGGGGCTGTGTCCATGCTGTATGACCATATGGTTCTATGATTCTATCTCAACACTCTTCCAAATTTCTCTTTTGAGGAGGAGCTGGACAGCAAGCCCAGAGTAATGAGGCCATTGTACATCTTGCCAGTGTAAAGCCAAACAGATTAAAACACTCTGCGTAAAAGCATTAAAATGTGTGCTGTTGCATAGTCCTCAGGAACTTTGTGTATCTGCTGGAAGGAAACAGCTGCATGTCAGCACATGGGTGATGTAAAAATAGTTACCTGATAGAAAAACAAAAGGGATTGCAGTGACTAACAATCTCTGAGCATCTTCTTGTTAAGTATCATGGGCGAGATCTCTACTAATGTTGCTTACAGTGAGCCCCTGTACGGCCTCAGAACTGGCAGTTTGACAGTTGACATGAGTTTATCACCGGTGCTTACAGAAGAGCTGCCACAGAAAGTGCATCTCACTCAACATTGCCTTCACAGACCTCACCAACACTTTCAATATCATCAGTGGAGATAGTGCCTTCAGGCTGCTGTAGAAACTTACGCATTTATCTTCCCTCCCACACAAACATGTGGAGTTTTTTTCAGATATAATGGAGTATCCCTGGATGCTTTCATGATCAGTATAGCAGAGTAAAGCAGCTCTGAGCCATGGCAATCACACGCTTTGGCATATTTTTCTCTATGCTGCTATTGTAGCAATTTTGGTGCCTCAAATGAGGTGTCTACCTGCATGCCAGAACTGATGGCAAGCTGTTCAAATTGGCAAGACCGTGCACCAAGACCAGTGTGTCCTAGTCCAAGTTACTGTTTGCTGATGAAGTTGCAATAATATCCCATGCTCTTCTTCACTTGCTGCAGCTGAGAGGTGACGTTATAGAGGTTTAAAATCATGAGGTGCCTGGATAGGCTGAATAACCAAGGTCTTTTTCCCCAGGGTAGGGGAGCCAAGAGGGCATAGGTTTATGGTGAGAGAAGAAAGATTTAACAGGGACCTGAGGGACAACTTTTTCATGCAAAGGGTGGTGCATTTATAGAACAAGCTGCCAGAGGAAGTGGAAGAGGCAGGTACAATTTACAATATTTAAAAGACATTTGGACAGGTACATGAATATGAAAGGTTTAAGAGGGATATGAGTCAAATGGGACTACATCAGTTTAGGGAACCTGGTCAGCATGGACAAGTGGGACTGAAAGGTCTGTTTCCATGCTGTATGACTCTAACTCCCCTTTCAAGCCAGCAGCAACCAGTTGGCTGAATCACATGAGCTGACTGGATGATGCCACATCCCCAAAGATATCCTCAATTGCCTCCTATCAGCACAAGATTGCCCATCTCACCAGAACAACAATAGCCACAAGCAAAATCTCACATTGACTGGGATCAGAGTTGATACATGGAAAATCCTCAGCGAGCTGGAGTGCCTGAAAACAAGCAGTCAGGAAGAGCAAAGAAGCAGAGGACAAAAGAGAGATGGCAGAAAAGAGAGCCTGAGAAAATATCCAACCTTGGGCCAACGCCATTCATTCATGCCAGCTCCAGAAGGGATTGCCACTTAGAAGTCAATTTCTACAGCCACAGACAGTGTTCAATGCAGAAGTGACATAGATCATGGATGCATTTCATGATTCTCAAGATGGATAGATGCCGTCAGACCCTCCTGTCCATTAATCAATTCTCTCTGTGCAAATATAACTGTGTAAGCCTCAGCCTATGTATTTTGACCTTTTGCTTGGCACTACATTGAACAACCTTTGGTAATCCAAGCACTAGCCTACTAGTCGAATTTGAAAAAATAAATGTCAAATGCAATTTTCCTTTCACAAAACTCTATCTAATCAAGAATAAGTCAAGACTTAAATTGTCAAGACTCCTTTAGTAAATCCTTTCTTAATTAGAACTTTTACTTGTTACTCATCTTTAGTTGTCCCTTAAAAAGTCCAAATGGACTGCAGTGGTTCAAAGCAGCTCACCACTGCTTTCTTAACAGCAATTAGGGATGGGGAATAAATGCTGGACTAGCCAGTGACATCCACATCCCATGAATTAACAAAAAAAAAATCTGCTTGCCTCTTGAAAAAGTGGTGATGAGCCAAATATAAACTAATCAAACTTACCTACAAAAGACATCTGTAATAGTGAAGGACATTGAATACTATGCAATTAATGATCACAAAAAAGATATACTGTGCAAGAAATTAATTAACTGTTGAATTTTCTTTCCCTGACATTTCCAGATGCTAAATTAATTGTCCAAATTGTGTTAACAATCCTCATTGTGGCAAAGATTAGGAGCTGTCTCAAATTTTGGAGAAAATCAGAAGTTAATTTGTAAACTGCACCGTACACACACAAATTCACTTTCAATACTTCACACAGTCACAGGTAGACAGGACAGGTTTAACAGGCAATTTTTGCTGTATTGCAGGAATACTCTGGGTTGCTTTTAGCGTTTCCATTTTTCTCCAGTTTCAGCCAGAACTAATTTAAGATTGACAAAAGGTAGGTGCAGTGTTGACGTGGGTAGTGAAATAATAAGAACAGGCTAACTAAACCTGGGGACTTATAAGTAAATATACATCTCAGGTACCAGCTACAATTAGATAACACCAGACAACTATTTTCTGTTATGGTCATAAAACACTACTGCTACAGTATTTATACATTTCTTACCCATCTCAAATGGGCATTTTAACTTGTTTGTAACATGTTTAAGATGAGGTTATGCTATGCAGTGCAATTTATGCCCACAGGATGGCTAGAACTTGTTTATGCAGACTGGTTATGTACATAGCTCTGCATACTTGAATTCAAGATTCACTCGATGGCGTAGTTTTTCTTAACCTTAGTTTAATACTGCTAGTTTTAATGTGTTTAGATTTAGGCTCAAGCCATTTTACTTGTTACAATAAGTTGTGAACAATTATTTTAAATCATACTAATGGCTTTCAGTTTATTTATCTCTTGTGGAGATTAAGTGGATTTGAGGTTCAAGTACTGAAAGCAGAATTTCATATATATTAAAAATTATGACAAATCCCATTAGCAACCTCCTTCTATATTCTTCCATCAGTTCATTCATTCAGTCATTCATTCATTCCGTGTGGTGCAGTTTCACAAATTAACATCAAGAAACAGCTGTGTTTTAGCAATGTTTTATTATCAAAATAGAAAAAGGAATATCATACAAAAAATAGGACAGATTACAGGGAAAGATTATCCCAACGATAAGTCTCTAAAATGAGAGATAAGCAACAGTTTTCACAGAAAGTAAAAATCACGTTAGTTGTGTATGCTTGTAGGAAGCAAAGATCCCTGAATACACAAACCTTCATAGGTGCACACATGCACAGGCACAGACTATTTTCAAAATACTTTATTGGTTTGTTAAAAAAAAAGTCCCAGTTACTTATTCTTTTCTTAATAAGCACAGGAACATAACTGTACAATATCCATTGTTCAAAAAAAGAGTTGAGCTGTAAAATGATCAGTAGCAGCCATTATCACCACATCAATTCTGATGGGTTTTTTTAATATATATATATATATATAAAAAAGGAACAAACTTGACAAAATGAACATATACATCTGTAAAATTAAACAAAGTATCTCAAAGAAAATATAAAGTAACTGCCCTGTTCCAGAGATCATTAAATTGTCCTTGTTTTGTTTATGTACAACAGTACTGTTAGTGCAATGTAGAATTTATATGGGGGTCAGGGGAGGGGAAGCTCAGCTGATCCGATGCATTCTTACAACGTAATAACTTCCCACTCCGAGGGAAGATCGGAATGGTTAATCCTCAACAATACTGATTTCCAAGTAACGTTTCACATTTCCCATTTTCCTGCCACTTGCTCCCTCCTAACAGCTGCATCATATTTTAATCACGGTGTCAATTTAGGTCCTGCCTTCGAACCTTCATTAAAAACACTACTTCTAACTGTGGCAAATGACAGTTGTGAATTACTCAAATGCTCTGGATTTTCCTTGATTTTACTTGAAGCAAGTAATATAACTTTTATTTCAGGCCAGGGCTTCAATTCACAAACATCTGTTAAAGCCAGAAAAAATTTAAATCAGACAAAGTGCTGTGGGCCCTAATTAAGCAAAAAAAATGGCTGTACAGTTCCTCACTCAAACTATTTGGGAAAATAATCTTCACAGGAACACAAGTATGTTCAGTGGGCCAGGAAAGTAGCTCCTCCCTCCCTATCACCACTAAACTATCAGAGGTTCAGGCTTGGAATGAAACTGAGCACCAAGCTAGATATCAACAATTTTCACATCCATTAGCAAGCAATTGGATACTGATATGGATGTTTCCTTTGTGGCTCTCAAGTGTACAAAAAAAACAGAAATGAACCCTTCAACATTTTTCTTATAAGTGCAAAAAATCAGAAAAAGGGGAACAGCAAAGACTGAACCGAAGTTACGCAATTGAAGGTTGTCTTAATTATAAATTACAATGCTTTACTTCAGTGTTAAGCAACTGACAATTTGTACTAGGCTCTTATCTACTTAATCACCCTACATTGTCCTTCAAAATTCAGCTTAAACTCTGAAACCCCTTGTAGTTCAGGCAGTTATGATTAAGCTGGGTTTCCTTAATACTCTAAAGGTGTACGGGACAGTTTTGCCAACGGGCATGAAACTGGTTTCTGAATGGTCAGCTCCCTGTACAAAATTTCCAGTAACATGCCTAGATTATCACTTCCTTAAGAAATGCTAAAAGATTTATACCATAACCACAGTCAGGAACTTCAAATTGGACAATGTAAGGAAAAATGTCCACTGTACTCTGGTGAATGTATTCTGCCATACTAGGTGGCGTGCAATTGATACAGGTTGAATGGGAAATATATCCCGGGTTTGATGAGCTACTTTAAGTGAGGGAGGGGCAAGTGGGAAGAATGCTGCAAGCAGTTACTTGGGATTGACGTAAACTACATGCTTGGCCAAGGGAAGAGTCAGAGACATTACCCACTAAAAATACAACACTGATTCCCCCCCACCCCAATCCGATCAGCTAAATGCAGAGCATTTATTACAAAATAGATATTTACAAAAATAGTTTGAGAAAAATTCAGTTACTGCACACTGAAAGGGCAACTGAAAGGTGGTCAGGACTTCTGCTATGGAAAGTTGATGTGTGTAGGGGAGGTATAAAAAGGAAACAGGAAGCTAGGAGCTAAGAGGGAAATGAATCAGGGGAATTTTCACAACAGATCTCTGGAAAACACTGGTTGAAAGTAAGCTCCAATTTCAGTATATTTTCTCCTTCATTGGAAAAGGAGTCTTGACATGATACAGGGAGAGAGGATTCAGCTGGGTGTTGAATGCAGTATTGAAATAGTTGACCGCTTTTTTATTTTAAAAATGCAGAGGTAGAAGTGTTCAGTAGTTACCTAGTCGGATATATGGATGTCCTCTCTGCGCTGTTCGTTTCCAATATAACAGACCAGCAGACTAAAAGAGGGTGGGAAGGCATTTCCCAATTCTTCAGCAGGCCACGCACAAGCTGCTCATCACCCCAACCCACCCTCTGCCCTTCATCACGTGTCACAATGACTAAATGGGAAGAGGGCAGTCTTGTTTATTTTTCATCCTGGCAGAAGAATAACATGCAACCTTGTTGAGAATAAGCAGTTCTTTTTCTCCTCTTCAAAGTTCATCTGCATCTCAGGCTGCCTTAATAAGCCTCACAGAGGCAAACACAAAAAAAAAGGGTTCAGGGGCATGGGGGGTTAGGGAGAAAAAGGACAGGGACAAACTGGGAGTTGGATCCAGTATCTGAGCAACAGCAACAATAATGTAGTGGTCTAAACCCCAAGCCTTATGTCCTTTCAGTTCCATTATTTAGAAGCCTACATAGACCGTGATGGGAGACCCAGGCAGGGTCCTGCTCGTCTGTAATACAGCAGTGAAAACTGTTCAAACTTTCCACAGGATAGAGGGAGGCCTGCTCACTCTGGGATGTCAGGAGTCTCCAAAGGAACTAGTGTCTGACCCAGCCAGACCATATTTTCGCACTCTTCAGCCGACGCTAATTTTCCTCTGTTACTTCTTAAAACTGGATCGTGTTGAATTTCACGGCAACGGGGGGCCATTCACCCCAGGGTGGTAGAAGGCACAGTTGCTCTCGTAACGGCAACTGCCTTTCATCATGAAATGCCGACACATGGGTCTGTTTGACATATCTGTTGGGGGGTGGGGAAAAAAGAGAGAGAGACAGAGAGAGAAAGAAAGAGAGAGAGAGAATACAAAATCGTTAAACAGCATATTTAAGAAAAGTATCAATATGCCAATCTAATATAACAGGAGAAGGGTTTGGTGTAGTCTGTTCCACCCCAATCTTCTCTCTCACACTTATTTTAAAACTTCACCCCTTTGAATACAAATGCTCACTCAGACTGTAATGGGACAGATATGAAGATGATTTTGGTTTGTTTCAAAGCTCTTCCATAGAACAAGGTGCACTGCTGCCAAGACGTTGCCTGCCCCTAATTCCTCTAAGGGAAGACATCAGGCTAGGTGTATCCAGCACTTGCCTTGTGTAATTTCAGCCATGACTACTCTCTGTAGACAGTTCTTGGAATAACACTGAGAAAGACCCTTTGAAGGATTGGGACAGTGTGGGTTAGAACTGAGCACTGCACGCAAAGGAGGCCAATGGATAGACCTTTCAGTTGGTTCTGCTCAAACATTGTCACAGCCAAAGGGGTTGCATTGGCTATGGCAGAAGGCGCTGGCCTACTCAGTACTGCAGTAATTATACTTGTTCAAAATTCTACATTGAAAGGGATATTCTTTTTCAAAGCTACACAGAAAACAAAAACTGACTGAGCAACTTATTTGAATCATTTTCACACCTCCAAAGTGAGACCTTTTGCTGGATTGTTGTTTGAGAGTTTAGCGATTGTCTTGCAGTACTTAAATCTATAAGTGGCGATGGGGGGAGTGGGTGGGAGAGAGAGACAGAAACGCTCAGAGCTCTAAGGTGGGCCCTTTTAAAAAAAAAACACAACTCATTATGGTGAAGTTCCAGAATTAATGACCAAACATCACAATCACCAACAGCTATAAGCTATATAAATGACTCAGTATTGAAACCATCCTCTCGAAGCTTTCCAAGTGCAACCAAACAACTCCAGAGATCAAAGGCAGACTGTCAACTGCCCACATACCTCCACCATGGTTGCCACCCATTCCTCCCCCGTGGTTGCCATGTCCTCCCCTTCCTCCTCCATGGGGGTGGCCCCGTCCACTGCGACCTCGGAAATTCTGGTCACCACTACGTCCCCGACCTCGCTGGTAGGGACCTCCACGCATGCCATGTGGGTTGCCCCTCATGTTGTCGTTTGGCTGGTCCCAGTAGCCATCCCTTTGATGATGAGGTGGGCCCATCATTCTCGGGCCACCAGGGCCATGGGGAGCTGAGCAGAAAAAATAAAAAACAAAAATCTCACAGTCAGAAATCTTCAAATAGTATTCACTTTGGCTAATGTACTTTAAAACAAAAGCACCTCTGGTGTTGAGTGCAAGAACAGAGCCATGACTATACCTGGGAAAGGTCCCCCTGGTCCTGCAGGGCCACTAGGATGGAAGTGAGGCATGTTATTCTGGCTGGGAGGATAGCCATTCACCGGTGGTGGTGGGGCAGCCATTCGCTGACCTGCAGGAAGACAGAGCATTAGTGAGAGGTATATTCAATACAAATTCACAAACATCAACCAGCAGTTCAAAGTCAAGCAAACTCTTCCCCGAAACTATCAATATTAAGCAGGACGACAAAGGCTGACAATATAGGACAGTCATCATCCCAAGAATATACTATAATGTTAGAGCATTAGATAATCATGTAGCAGAAAGGGATAGAAGGCTATGTGGTATTGAGAGATGAGGTTGGCAAAAAGTTCATGTGTCGTGTATAAAATTGTTAGGCTGAATGGTCTCTTTCAGAGCTCGCAACTTGATGAAAATTAGATTCTACCCAATAGGTGCTTGGGCTGAATAGCCAGGTTCTGTGATGAAATATTTATACAAAGGATAGGTAAGTGAAGATAAACTTACATTAATAATTGAATGAAAATAAAGAACTGAGGATGCTGCAGATCCTGAACAAAAACAGAAATTGCTGGCGCAACACAGCAGGTTTGGCAGCAGTAGTGAGAAAGCAGAAAGTTCTGATGAAGAGTCACCAAACTCGAAACGCTAACTCTGCTTTCTTCTATAAATGCTGCCAGATCTGTTGAGTTTCTTCAGCAATTTCTGTTCTTGTTGCTTTAACAACTGCCCACTTTAAGGTTAAAGTTGAGAGAGGAGGCAGAGCAGTTGTAGGAATAAGTTTTCAGAGTTACTCAAGCTAGCATCCCTAAAGTTAACAGATTTCATGGGCTGGGTGGTCACCTTTCACACTGTGATTGAGCTGAATTCACACAATGAGCACCAGGTGCTCAGTCCCTGTAAGTTAATAACTAAATGGCCTGTATACCAAATCAGGTATGAGGTTTTGCTTACAGCTGGCCAGAGGATAAAGCACCCCATGAGCCACTGTGCACAGGAAACTTAGAAGAGTGAGTGGCACAGTCAAACGCCTTTGGAAAGAAAACTACACAGAATTGATTACAGGGACTAGAGCATTCACTGGCCTCCACAATGGAAAAGACAATCCTCCCAACTTGCAGCAGAGATTACTCTTAAACCAATATATTCTTTCCAGCCTTGCAGAAAGCCTCAGGCGTTTGAGAATCAAACAGCAGCGACCCTCTTGCCTCTTGTCCATAGGATCATTTATCCTTTGTAAGCACAGGCAGAGAGAGTGACAGCTAGATATTAAACCACAGAAGACAGCATACCCAGTTTATCCCTCAACATATAGTTTTTTGCACAATTATTAGAAATGCACAGAAAGCTCCTCTCTTGAACCCTGAAGCCACAATTTGAGCATCCCTATTGAGGTTAGTTAACTCAGATTAGACCAGTGATTGAGTACTGGGGCTCTGCAATTCAGATGGTCTCCCACATTTTTACTACTGAATCAGTAGAACAAGGCATTACCAAACTTAGCAGAGACCTTATTACAATGAGGTAGTCTTGAGGTTATAAGTACACATGGTTCACTGCCACAGATAGAGGGCGGTGTTATTTATGGATGGGATACCTGGTGGGGCTTGGTTCTGCAGTGGTCCAAGCAGCTGTTTGATTTTATCAGAGAACTCTGGCTGTTTGACTAACTCGTCAATGGGCTTTTGATTGCTCTGTAAATAATAGAGAACACAGGTTATTCTACAGGCCCAACAATTACCCTTCACTTCACAAGGCCATATATTTCACAGTACCTTAAGTCACAAGATCTAATTTATAAAATTAGTTATTTTACGATTCCCATGCTTAAACATTAAGATTCACACTGCATGAACAACCATTCAAATAGCTGAATGTGTAACTTGGATCTAGGCCCGGTCAGGATATCAACCATTTGCCAAATAACATCATGGAATCCAACAACTTGAAACTTCTAGATCACCTGCAATGTAGCACAACCATCGTACTGTGCTGGAATGTCAACTGGGCAGTAAAAAGTTGGAGTAGGGATTGAACTCATATCCTATCATCCACAAGTGCCACCAACAGAGCAAAGCCACTTGATCAAAACTGTATACAGAGTGCCACCTGAAGCATTAATTTTCAGATGATCCAAGTCAAATGTTGCAAGAATGTAACCCAGGTAAATAAGTTTAACCACTCTCGCTACTTACCATAAGGGAGGTGAGTAACTCCTGGACATTGATGCCCGTGTTGGCATTTGATCCAGATTGCTGGTTCTTCACTATGCCCATACTGCCCATCAAGTTGGCCAGCACTGGAGGCAGCTTGGAGCTTCCTGAACCATCAGGAGACTGAGAAGCCGCGACTGTTTTCATTGGTTCCTCATATGTGGTGTCCTCTATGCCATTCTCCTACGGAGAAAACAAGCATCACAGTGAAGGGAAAGGTTTTCAACGGGTGTTAAATTGCAACAATTCAAACAAGAACACACCTGACAAAATTCTTTGTATTCTTTCTTATTAATGTCTGTCTGTCACTGCTTGCATGTGAGCATCTTTATCTTGTACTCTCACTCAAGGAAAGAAAATCTGTTCCCATTAGCTCATCGTAAGAACAGGAGTTACAAATTTTAGATCTTGGACAAGAGATGCAGGGCTTTTTGCGGGGGGAGGAACGGACGGAGTTTCAGTAAGTGGCAACTTTGCTGCTTGAGGGGGCAGCAAAGCAGAGACAATTGACAATCTCAGAAAAGGAAATTGGATAGGCAGGAGGAAAACAAAACTTGCGGTGTTACAGGGATAGAAGAGCGGAATAAGACCAATTGGATGGCTGTGCATGAATTTAATGGGCCGACTGGTATGGTCATGTACCATAATGATCAAGATTCAGTAAGGTGGAAATGTGTGTGCAGGTGAACCAAATATTATACCTCAAACTTCCTTCACTTTTAGAATACTTGGGGCAAATCTTTACAGCGATCTTGAGGGTGGCCTAATTCAGCAGACTACAACGAAACTTGGTTTAGTGGACACCACTTCCTCAGGTTTTACAATAAAAACAGGCAGAAAAGGCCAAGATAATATTTATACCAGTTAACTAAACTATCTGCAAGGCCAGTGGAAGCAGATTAAACTTCTAAAGGAAATCAAATGAGTATTTGGGAAAAAAAAGGAGAAAATTGCAGGGCAGTGGGGTAAAGAGCAAAGAGGAATGAGAGACTAATTGAATAGCTCAAAGAGCTGGCACAGGCATGGGCTGAAGGACCTTCTTTGGCATTCAACAATTGAAATTACAAAAACAAGAATAAGCACAGGATTCATGTTTTGCATAAATTGAAATTCTCCCAGTATACCATATGATGCAAAAGAAGCAACTTTCCTCAGCAATTAATATAAGCTGCTTTAACTGATTGAGCTCCATAGGAGACTTACATCATCCAAAGGAATGATCTTGGGTGGAATAGTTTCATAAGATTCAGCATCAGGCTCATGAGGACTCTCTGGAACACTGAGAATTTAAATGCAATTAGATTGTCATTAATGAAAAGTACAGGCATAATAGGGTGAATAAATAGACGTACATTTTTGAAACTAGCTTGTTTAAGTTTAAAAAAAAAAATCAGCATCATTGTTAGGTATGTCTGACTGACCTCCAAGAAAGAACTTACATTTTAGTTCTGCAGAAGTTGATAAGCTAATTACCTAATGAGGTTAAGTGCACACAGGACTATGTTTAGGTTTCAAATACCTATTTTGGATAAACAACATGACATCTACACTGGCACACTATACTTTAAGCAGTTATTCACTGTTGCTACACGCTCTCAATTGCATCTGATAAGGTATTATTTCCGTGTACAGAGAAAACCTACTAGCATAGGACGAGCGACTCCAGTATTGAGGAGACATTTAAAGTAGCAGCATGGGAAATTCAAGAGATGTTTAAAAGCATCTTTTTTTGACAGAGTAAATGATAAGGTATATTTTCCACAAGTAATAAGGCAGCACAGGACACTACAGTAGCAAACAAAAGCCTTAAAAACTGTTTTGAAATGAGGAGGAATTTAATGCATATTGCACTGCTTGAAAGGGCAGTAGAAATAGAACCAATAACTTGTCAAAGGAATTAGTTAGAGTGAAAACTTACAGGGGATGTAGGAAAGCACTGTGGGAAAGGGTCTAACTGGAAACCTGCTTCAAAGACCTGCTGAAGCCCAATTGACCATTGTGCATCACAGAAGGGTGGCAATCAAGAAGATGCATAAACCTACCAAAGACCTGCTTTTAGTGCAAAGTCTATGTCACATTTAATAACAACAGCATTAAAGTTCAAAGTATCCACTTATTCAACTGGATTCATGTACACTGGTACCTTGCTTTCTCTCCCGCCTCATCAATTCCCATGCTGCTGTGCATGCAACCATCCCACTCACCCCACTTATGAAGACATTGATCCATGTTACATACAAGGTCCTTCACATGCCTGAAAGGTAGGTCAAAAAACTATTTGGCCACTGGAGGGGTGACTGCTGAGAAGCGCATGACCTACTCAAGTCCCACTTCCTAGCACATTAACAAAGAGTTTTGCTTTTATGCTACAGAACTTCTGATCCAGACGTAGCTATCGTCAATCACTGCTATCAAGTAATTTTAGTTTGTCTACATCCCCATTAAGTGCAGTCACACACAGCCATACTGAGCTTTGCTATCCAGTCAAGAAAGTAGGAAGGAGAAAATGAGTTATATACAGAAAGAACATACCAGTCTTTGGAGAGGAAGATTTCCTGTAGAATCCCTTTCTCTCGCTCTTCTTGAATGTACTTCTCCTGACTGCTACTGCCCCTCTCTGCTAACTGCGGACCCAAATCGATTAAAACAGGGCACGTCCAAGGGATCTTCTCCTCCATTGTATCATGGCTTAACCTGCGAGCAGTCTCAAATGCCTGCCGATCCATCATCATTTCTCGCTTGGCAGCTTCACCAAAGTCTTTAATCTTGTTCACATTAACTGAAAGGAAACCAGTATTGGTAATGAGCAAACAAAAAAATAGTGTGACCAACAGCATGCAAGTAAAGTACTTATTCAACTTGACTGAACACAATCAACAACTTTAACCTCATAAACAAGAGAAAGCAGGGAAGAAACTGGAATCCTTTCAAACCAAACTAAACAAGGGAAACTGACAAATGAGACAAGCTCAAGATTGATACCAGGCAAAGAAGTACATTCCAGTGATTCAATACTTGGAAAAGTCTTAGATTGGGGAAATTAAAGCAAAGATTCTAGGTGACACCAGTCACTATCAAATAACAGTACAAGTTACTTAAAATGTGTCAATTCAGATCCTTAGTCCACAGGTAGTAGAAAAGCGAGCTTTAGAACAGCTCCAACTACTGAACATGCCTCTCAGATTGTTATACTAACTCAAGGAAAACTTCACATTACACCCAATCATGTCCATGCTTACTCTCAATTGTGGCATGTCAGGTTAAAAAATGTCAGTATTTAAAGGAAAGGAGCCCCTCCTCTCCCATTCCTTTATTGCAAGCACATATCTCACCTCTCTCAGTTTCATCCAGTTCAAAGTAGAAATACTCTCGTAGCTTGGATTCTTCACGCCATGACACAGTCTTCCTTTTCTTTCCCTTTCTTGTCAGCTTGGCTGCTTCTGGCACTGTTTCTGGTGGAGAAGGTTCAGCCACTGTCGCAGCTGCAGCCACCGTCATATCCTCTTCAACAGCTGCAAGTTAAAAGAGAAACACATAGACGTCAAAAACATTGAAACACACAACGAAAATTTGAATTCTTCAATACAGGCAAAGGAGGCAAATAAGAAGAGATCTTGGGAACAGTGCAAAAATAGCACTTCTATGTACTGGAGATACTGGCTTTCCTTGTAGATATTTTTAACTGACCTGTTCAGACATACTACAACAAATCCTGGGGCAAGTGGGACTTGAACCCAGAGATAGGGATACTCCTACTGCACAAAAGTGTGTGAAAACTCATTGCCTGCAGTGGGGTTTGAATCCACACTACCTACCTGGGTCAGCATTAACTGGATCTCCAATTTACAATTCCAGCACTATCACCACCACACCATCACCTGCCCATGTGTGGGACTGGAACTCAGAGCTTTGGGAGCAAAAATGTAGGGACATAATGACTGTGTTGTAAGACCCTCAGCTGACTGCATCTTGTATCCCAGGGCAAACTCCCATCTAATTACTAATCAGGCCGAAGTCTGCCTTGTTTCAGAGGTCAGGCAAGATTGGGCATTTTCAAACGAGTACAGCCACAGGCAGCTTTGTTCTTTTCTTTCCAGATAAAATCCCATGCAAATAAGTGGAGCGAGCACCTCAGATGAAAGAAATGCGATCAGATAGCCTGAAGTTTCACTGTTTCTAATTCAAAAGCTAATGCAATAAGAGCAATGCCAGTCATAATTTGCACCTAACACCAGACAAAAATTTAAAATTTGGAATCAATACAAGATGGTCACTGATAGGTCCTGTATTGGTTTAAAGAGGAACTTTTCATCCATAGAGTGGAAGTTGCTGGCACTACCTGGTTGAGGTAGATTGTATAAATGGCTTTAAAAGGCAATTAGATCATTATGTGACGGGAAGGAAGTGAGGAAATGCAGATACGGTGACAGAAGGCTCAATTGTAAGTCTAAGATAATTTGGGTTGAAGAAGTTTGTTTCTGTGCTGAAAATTCCATGCAACAGCTCAGCGAGAAGGGTTAATGGGCGCAATGAAAACGATATCTGCCATCTCGTGTCATCACTGGATAGCAATGAGGACATAAAACACAAAATGCCAGGAGGTGCCCAGTCCTAGCAACTTAGGAAGGTAAAGCTTATAATAGATCTGAATTACTGTGTGGTTTACTAACTGGACCATCAACATTCACTTGGCTGAAACATTTAAAGCACTATGCATCTACTACAAGTAGACTTACCCATCTCCATAGGCTCAGACACCTCTTCCAGTGGCACAGGTGTACTAGGTCTCTCCACTTCCATGGGCTCAGTGATAGCAACTTCTGGAGAAGCAGGCTTGGTGCTGATCTGTTCAGGACTGGATTTTTGATCAAAAGGATTGGACTGAAGGGAAGGGAGAAATGATAAAAAGTAAAACTAGAGAGTCAAAGACAATTTTAGAAAGTTAAGCAATAATATTCACAACAATTACAAAGTTCTCCAACTGGAATTTGAGGACAGACCTGCAGACAAAGGTGTTTATGCCCATATTAATGCCCAATCCCCGTTTGGGATTTAATCAGCATCTTTTTGCTAACCCAATTTCGATGGATCCACTGTATATTTAAAATGCTCACAAAACAACTGACTTTTGATTTTTAAAAATCAAAAAAGACAAAAAAAAAATCAAACAAGCTCATAATTACATGATAACTAGACTTACTGTCAGGAAATCTCATCCAAATGCCTCGCAACACCCGTTTATAGTATGCCCTCCCATAACATATTATGACTTGAGTAACAGTATGGCTTCTGACTTTTCTTAATAACTTCACCTGCGAGCCCTAATAGTCTAAACTGCCACTTGTGATAAGCCACAGCATACAGTTGTGCAAGTTTACAACTGTGCATGTTTAAATTTATGCTTCATCACCTTAATTAGCAATGTCCTGAACAACTATGAGTTTCTTAAATTTCATTTGCGAGCCAAACGCATTCTCCAAGTTACCAACAACATTAATATAACCTCTCCAAGAAACAGAATTTATTACCGGGACTTCCTGCAAGAAAAAGCACTACTTCTTAATGTCAAATTTTGAAGCTCATTATCACTGATGCTTCTTCCATTTGGCAGGCCATTTCAAAGCACACCAAACTCATATCAAATTAAAAGTGGATCTTAATAATGGACTTCAAAATAGTGTTTCCCAAAAAAAAGGTAGAATTTTGTTCATAACTTTTCCCTGCACAAACGTTTTTCTACCAATAAACTGTGCAGCTTTACAATAATCTCCACCCTTAACATGTCCAGTGTTTCAATGAAAGAAAGGGAAGCTTGCACATTTGCTTCTTAGTACCTTGACGCTAGTTGGGGAAGTGATCTTCTTCTTCTTCTTGATTTTTAATCCATGTACTGGGGCAGAGTTGAGTGCCTCTAGAAAACCAGTACTTTCAATAGCTGCAGAAGTATGAGCAAAGTGTCAAATTAGAGCTAAAGCACCAATAGAAACACTCCAAATCCAATATTCTTTCAATAAGATAATCTAGACCCAATCCTTTGTGCTTTATGTGTTTTACTGGGACCTCTAGAGCATCAGCCCCCTCACATGGCCAGAGATGGGGAGAAGACTCAAATGAGCAGAGTTAAACAAAGCATCCATTCTCAAAATATTGCAAGCACATGACACTGCTAAGGCAGGGCAGGATCACAGGTATCTAAGAATTGTCACCCGTTGCTTCAAACAATGGATGTGATACTCAGTTAAGTTACAGCATGTGTTCAGTGCTTGTAGAACTGTATCCTCAACAAGCAAATTAAAAATTGTTACTTCCAATTTTCAAAATACTCTTACTTACGCTGGGGAGGAATTATTTTAACTTTAATTTCCTTAGTAGTGTTGGGTGTCACATTGAGCGGTTTGTATTTCTTCTCCATGTGTGGTGCAGAGCTACTTGTCAGAGATGAGCTAGGAATCAACAAAAATGGAATTAATCATCAGCTATGAAGAGAATTTCAGTTTACTAGTAAAACAACTAAGTGGATAGAATGATAATTCTGCAAGTGACAAAAGAGCAGTGCGTATTGCGGACTTTGAGGCAGCCGGCGGGTCGGTGGGGGTGGTGTATGTGTGCATGGCCATTTGGTCTATCAAGTCTGCACCAATACTCCAAACAGCATCCTGCCCTGACTACCCCCATAAGCCACCCTATCCCTAACCCCACATCTACCATCGATAACCAACCCACTCTGTAGTTTCCCAGACAATGGGGCAATTTACCGCTGCCAATCCACCTATCCTGCTCATCTTGGGACTGTGGGAGGAAACCAGAGCACCCGGTGAAATCTGACGCAGACAAGGGGAGAATGTGCAAACTCCACACTAGTCACTCAAGCTGGGTCCCTGCAGCAGTGAGTCCCTGAGTTACCATACCATCCTTGAGCAGATGAATAACAGCTGAAATTTAATGCAGAGGTACAACGTAATACATTTAACAGGAAGAAAAAGATGGCAACAGGAGATAAAGGTTACAATCCAAAAATTAAATTACAGGAATACAAAGACCCAGTGATATTTGTGCATTGGTCAAAGACAAGTTGCAGAAACAGTTAGTGAAGCATACAGAATCCTGGGATTCATAAATAGAGGTAGAGAGTACAAAGAGCAAGTTATGATGATGATCTTTTATGAAACTAATTCAGCCTCAATTGGTGTACTATGCCTGATTCCAGGTACCACATTTTAGGAAGGTTTTATACTTTAGAGAGGGTTCAGAAGAAACTTAGAAGAATGGTGGACTTCTGTTGCTTAGATAGTTCAAAGAAACCAAAGTTTTTAAAAGAGAAGTCTGAAGAGATTTATGGCATGTTCAAGATCACAAGGTGTCTAGGCAATATATGGAAAGAAACCGCCTCCCAGAGAGAAAGGTTGAAAATCAGAGGACACAGATGCAACACAACTGGCAAATAAACTACTGGCAACATGAGGAGATGTATTTTTATGCACGTGGAGAATGTACTGCTGAAGAATGTGAAAGGGACAAATTCAGCCATGGCTTTTAAATGGGAACTGCATATGTACCTGAAATAACATACTTGCAGATTTTAACATAAAGGGTAAGGGAACAGGTCTAAGTCAAAGTTACACCTGCACGACATCAGCACGGACTAAAAACAGGTTAAGAGAGTTTGGAAACAGCAAGGAAGGAAAACCACAGCTGAGCTCAACTACAAGATGCATTTTAAGCAATACAAGGCCCATGGGCTCATGCCTCCATTGGGGAGATTAAGAGTACAGAATCTGAGTTCCCACTGCAGAGCTACTCTGATCCACACAATACAACACAAAGCACATTTCAAACTAATCTGCTTGGAGCTAACATTCATACCAGCATGAGAACGGTCACTTATTTTTGCATATTTCTCCAGTATGCACATGTAACTCTGAAGTCTCTGGTTTCCATGACTATGCTATACCTTAACATGCTGTTGCATCTTGCCATACTGTTCATTACAAAGTGATCTTACCTTGGTCTCTTCAGAGGCGCTGGCTTGATGTTGTACTTGTCGGAAATTACCGGGCCAGAAGAACTCTTCTTTGGTGGAACGGGAGCCTCCATCTCCAGGCCTGCAAATGGAGTTAGAAGGAGGGTGAGTGTCACATTACCACCAAGGGAAGTAAGCAGCTACCAATTGGTAATTTCTTAAAAGCAAGGTTAATCACAAGACGCTACATCTGCACTTCATTAGGGAATGTCACTTGTCATTTGTAGATGATCTCTTCTTCTTAAAATTCACAAAAAGATTAATCAAACATCTCTAAACCATTTACGTCAAATGGAGTCCCGAAACAGATGGGTGAAAATAAAGCATGCATCAGAAATTCTCAACAGTTATCTGCGGGTAACTGAGCATACTTCTGACATAGGACTGAACTAGAGTGCAAAGAATCAAACAAGAACAGTTGTAACAGAAGAGTTTAAAAAAAAAATGTCAAGTAATATTCAGGCTAGGTGTTTTAAGGGAGATTAGTGCATTACAAGTGTATGACAGCCACGTGATAACCACCTGTTGATCTGAACTTGGCGTGACTGGGTGCAGTTGTCCGTAACGACTTGGGTTTCTCACGTTTCTTCTCCAATGATTCCTCTTCCTTCGTCTCCACTCGGAGGTCTGATTTGGGATCTGGGACTCGCTCAGAAACTGGTGCTCGAATCTTGCTTTCATCTTTCTTTTCATCTTTCCGCCTCTTTCTCTCTGGCTGTTTATCTACAGATTTAAATAAAAAAACACTAAAAAAGGTAAAGAACTTGCTGGGCAAACAAGAGAAGAGGGAAAGGATCTAAATATTAGACTAAACCAAATTATATCTTTCTTCTTTAATCAGGAGTACCCACAGCAATTTAAAGAAGTGATTACATTGCAGTCAAAAGTAACAGTTCCACTAGATTTTCTGACCATGATCTATTTATACTGATTAGTCTGGATTCAACAATGAAAAACCTAAATATGTCCCACAGAAAATAGGAACCAGAATGGCTGCCAGATACCTAAAGATTTCATTAGTTGATAACAACAGGCTACTTTACAGGTAACATTAAGTTTACACATTCTCTTACATTTATCAGTCTAAAAATTTTATGCTATTAAAAACAATGCACAAAAAATCCATAATACTAAGTACCAACTCAAATTTCCTAAACCTTTACCCCAACACCAAAATGTAGGTTTAGCATCTAGTAGAATACCGAGTGTGAAAATGAGCCACATATACCAGCACAATTCCTGTTCCTTGAACTGGATAGATTCGGCTTACACAGCTTGGACAAAAGTTTGAGTTTTACAGTGATTTACAATGTCCCTAGACCTCAGGGCACTTTGAATCAAAATAAAATTCTCTCTCTCAATCGTCACTCAACAACCATCAATGGATATGGGCATCTTCCGAGGACAACACTGGCTGCATTTGTCCTGCAGTAAAACATGAGTCACAAAGCATCGGAAGATGTGTTGAATCTGCAGAATTGTAGCAGAAATGCCTTTCAAGGTTTGGGATGAGTTGTTTTTGGAGAAGCAGCGCTACAAAAACAGTTTGACAATGGGTAAAATGGAGCATAAGGCACGACTGATCAGACATAAGACACCAAGAAAATTATACACGACTAATCAAACTGTACCTTGTGCGCCAGGACCTGTGCTCTGAGAACGAATTACAGTCATCCAATGGTTGACCAGAACTTGTGCTAACTTCCTGAGTTCTAAAACATAAAATAAGAAATTATGAAAAATAAAGGACTACTTTCAAGACAAACACCACTGAGACCTAATTGCACTATCAGTTAATAGTTAGCTCCACAATAGTAATGGTTGGATGATTAAATTTTGCTGGAGAATGGATGTTAGTGAAGGCTTAACTTCTACCCACTATCTACTTATCAGTTAGAAAATGCATGTATCCTAGGCAGCTGAGCATCATCAGGATTGCCTATGATGCCCTGGATGGTTGTGTAATTGACACTCATTGCACCAAGAGGCAAATAACCATTTGTGAATGAAAGGACTGTTCGTGCCTGTATCTTTGGTGAGGTATGTCTCAGGAAGAAACTTATTTAAATCAGAAGCAAATGAATTATAACTGCTTTGCACCAAAAATTAAACATGGAACAAATTTCACTTTGTCTTGCTGGTGAAAGGAACTATTCATAAAACAGAAACAAGTATGTATTACTTCCTCTTAAGTTGCAGTTTAAACAGAACAGTCAAAGTGGTGGTGGAAATATCAGATGTTTAAAGAAATGCAACTTCAGCTCCTTTAAACTTGATGCAGATAGAATATATTACGACTAACCTTCATCATCAAAGCTCTTGCTCAACTGTTTCACTATCTTGGCTGTGTTATTCTGAAATAGAGACAGGCTCAGGTAAGACACTTGCATTCTGGAGCTTCCCTACTACCCACAGATTTTATGAAAATACACACCATTTATTTGTAACACAACCATACTGAGCAAGCTCCTTCAAAGAGATGCCTACATCTGCCAGTAGTACAGATACCCAGTGTAAGCACAAAACGTGCACACAAAACTTAGGGCAACTAGGACATCCAACGTTATCAAAAGTCTGGCAGACCGACTTCTACATTGCAGTGCCTGAGCATCTGCTCTCACATACTTCCTCCTATCTCCCCCTGGACACTCTCCCTTTGTGGGGAATGTTCCACCCTGTTTCAGTCCTATTCCAACCCCCACTCCCAAGTCTTTCTCTGGTAGATTGATGATATCAAAGGTGCTGCTTCCACCCCTCATCTGCAATTGGAAAAGATTATCAAGTTCGCTTTCAATTTCCACCCTGCTCTCACCTTCACCTGATCCATCTCTGACTCCTCCCTTCCCTTCCTTGACATCTGTTTCTATTTCTAGGGATAGGCTGGCCACCAATATCCATGACAGACCAACCAACTCCCACAGTTATCTCGGTTGTATATCCTCACACCCTGCTTCCTGTAAAGGCTCTATTCTATTCTCCCAGCTCCTCTGTCTCTGTCGCATCTGTTCTGATGATGCCAACTTCAACAAGGGAGCCTCTGAAATGTCCACCTTCTTCCTCAACCAAGGATTCTCCAGCACCGTAGTTGATACAGCCCTCAGCCAGGTCTGACCCATCTCCCACACTTTAGCCCTCACACCCTCTCTTCCCTCCCACAACAATCCCCCCCGAATTGTCCTCACCTACCATTCCACCAGCATCCACATACAGAGATCATTAGCTTCCATTTCTGCCACCTCCAGCGGGATGCCACCACCAGACATATATTTCCCCTCCCCTCCCTCGTCAGCCTTCCGCAGGGACCGTTCCCTCTGGGACACCCTGGTCCACTCCTCCTTCACTCCCAACATGCTGCCCCCCACAGCACCTGCCAGTTTATTTCCTACTTCGTCAGTATCCAAGGCGCCAAACACATCTTCCAGTGAAGCAGTGCTTTACCTGTACTTCAATCTGTCTACTGTATTTGCTGCTCACAATATGATCTCCTCTATATTGAGGAAAATGAAGTGTAGACTAGGTGACCACTTCACAGAACACCTATGTTCTGTTCGCAAAGAACAGGCTGAGCTTCCAGCTGCCTGGCACTTCAACACACTACTTTGTTCCCTGGCCAACAATTGTCTCAGGCTTGCTGCTGTGCTCCAAAGTTCAGCACAAGCTGGAAGAACAATGCCTTATTTTCTGCATGGGGACTCTACAGCTTTCTGGACTCAATATTGAGTTCAAAATTTTAGGGCTTGAGGCACCTTCTCCCATGTTATTAACCCAAACCCACACATCTAGCTTTGTTATCACACGAACTGCTACTATACACAACCCACTGTTAGCCACTAATAGTCCCTATTAATAGCTATTCATTCTCCTATGTCTGTTCAACAGTTCTTCTCTTTCTTTGGTGGGTTCTATCTCCACCTATCATTTAGTCCTTACCCCCTCCCTTCAATCTACTTTCTGCATAGAAAACAATGTTTTCCTAGCTACCATCAGTTCTGAGCAAGGGTCATTGAACCTAAAACGTTAACTCTGATTTCTCTCCATAGGTGCTGCCAGACCCGCTGAGCTTTTTCCGTTTTTGCAGCAATTTCTGTTTTTGTTTCTGATTTCCAGTATCTGCAGTTATTTTCAATTTTATTACCAGAAGTCTGCAAGGTTTATACAAGATAAATCATTCAAGGGAGACAGGTAAAGAGAAGGGTTGATTCTTCCCAGAGATGGGAAAATATTGTTGCAGAAAAGGAGTTTATTTGAAAACAAAAAGAAATTACAACTTAATAACCAATAGCAAATTGGAAGAAAATATATTAAATCGTGGCTCTAATAACGGAAAATGATGCCATGCCACAGCGTGACAGTGCATAGGCAAAGAAAAAAGGCCCATTTCTCACACTTAGAATTTTATAAAGCTAAAAAGAGCCAAATGAAAACTGTTAGCCTTGAATTTACTCCAAATACAAGTTAAAAATAAAGTTTCACTTCGCCTCTCAACTCTAGCAAAGTTCAAATGCTGTACTATCAAGCTATTAATTATAAAAGAAGCTGCCATTCAAACTACTGGACTTGTCTTGGCACTTTGAAAGGACTTTTAAATTGTCTCCCTCCCCTGCCCTCCACCTGACCCTACAGATGTCCCATTTAAAAAATTATTCTTCAATCTGCATCCATCACGTTTTGTGTCAAAAATTCTCATCTGTTCTCTAGTTTTTCTTTTAATCACCTTAAGTTTATGTTGGCTAGTCTCATCTCCTCCTGCCAATGCAAAGCACTTATCGTATTCACACATGTCAGACTGGAATATTTTTCATCACTAGTTTAATTGCACAGAACACAAATCATAATTCGTTGTCCTTTGTATGGTGAACATGGTCATAAAAGGCAAGTCCTATCCTCAAGGTTACAATGGACAGTGACTTGTTTGCTTACTTGTTTTAGATGGTCCACAGTGAGTGGCAGCAGTTGCAATGCCAGCAGAATCTGTTGTAACAATGGTACGTTGCTAGTAGATTTGGAATAAGCCAGCCAGTTATTCAGCAGCTTGTAACCACCAACATTAATGAACCTTCAAGGAAATAAATAATCAGGTTAGGCACTTAACTCTCATCAGCTCTTATCCACAAGAAAATACATTGCATACCTTGTTTCAGAGATAGTAGGAACTGCAGATGCTGGAAAATCTGAGATAACAAGGTGTAGAGCTGGATGAACACAGCAGGCCAAGCAGCATCAGAGGAGCAGGAAGGCTGACGTTTCGGGCCTAGACTCTTCTTCAGAAAATGAAG